GGTAGGTCAGGCAGCATCAGAGTGTCTCTGACCTGCTGTGTTCCCCCAGCTCCACACTGTATTGACTCGGACTCTAACATCTGCAGTTCTTGCTATCTCCAAATGTTTTTGATCGGGTCTATACAGAGGTGGTACGTGAATTGGGGACTCCCGGCTCAGAGGCAGTGACACTACCACTGCTACAAGAGTGGTCTCTCAACTGTCTTCATTCTGATGTGCACCAGGAGCAATATTTGGAAATTGATTTCTTTCAGATGTGTGCCTGCGTTCAGCAGTGAGATGCTACATGTCGTCCTTGTTAAATATTCTGGTCACTCTCTCACTAGCCAAATGGCTGTCTCCTTGACATTGGATGCCAAAGATGAGATGCTGTTTTCCCCCTGGATCCCAACCACAGCTGTTAGCTGCTGTAAAACATTTTCTATCCTATTATCTTTTTGTAACTGTATCTTAATGAAGTCTACGAACATTAAAAAACTGGTCCTAAATGGCCAACCTCGTATCCTTTTGTACTGTGACTCCTGGTTCTGACTGGCCCTGTTAGAATTTTACAAGTTTGAGAATTACCCCATTCTTCTAAATTCCAGTGAATATAGTGATCCAGTCTCTGTTCGTACGTCAGCCCTGCCATCCCAGGAATCAGTTTTGGTGAACCTTCGCTGCACTCCCTCCATCACCAGAACATCCTTCCTCAGATAAGGAGACCGAAACTGCCCATGGTACTCCGGGTGTGGTCTCACCAAGGCCCTGTACAATTGCAGCAAGACATCCCTGCTCCTGGACTTGAATCCTGTCACTATGAAGGCCAACAGACCATTTACCTTCTTCCCTGCCTGCTGCACCTGCAATGCTTATTTTCAGTGACTGGTGTACAAGGACACCCAGGTCTCCCTGCACCTCCCCCCTTTCCCAATCTCACCATTTCGATAATTCTCCTTCTTTTTTAAGCTCCCCAATGGGAACCACTCCCCTTTTACCACATTATACTGCATCTGCCATCTATCTGCCCACTCGGAGCAATGGACATATAACAGTAACTAAGACTCATCCCACGTGTGGAGCCATACTTTATAACACCTCTTGAGACAGAGAGGGAATTGGAAAACCCTATGTTTTTGTGGATTTATGTTCTCCCTCGCTTGAGTCACAGGCAGGGGTGGGGATTCCTTGCTCTTTCTACTTTTTTGAGCATTTTACTTCAAAGACTATCTATCTTTTTTTTTAAATTGTTAAGTGTGGAGCTGGAGGAACACAACGGGTTAGGCAGCATCAGGAGAGCAGGAAAGTTGACATTTCTGGTTGGGGAAGGGTCCTGACCCGAAACGTCAACTTTTCTGCTCCCTCTGCCTGGCCTGCTGTGTTCCTCCAGCTCCACACTGTTATCTCTGACTCCAGCATCTGCAGTTCTTACTATCTCTCTTTTTTTTTTTTTTGTTTTAAATTGTTGCTTGAAGTGGGGGCTGTTTTCTGGCTGCTGTGTAGTAACAGCCCAAAGATGAGCACGTTCGCCTCTGCCGAGTTAAACTCTTCCTGTTGGGTGATGGCACGAGGACCAGGCGCGACCACAAGCTAAAGGTTTGGTCCAAGAGATGCAGGTGAGAGTGTGGTGGTAACTGGTACCTTGCTGCCTATGAGGACAGTAGAAGTGGTGACCATCTCTCTAGTAGAGGCCAAATTGCTGCTTTTTTTTTTTAGGGAGGTGGGGAAAGAAGGAAGGTTAAAATGACTTTGACATATTGCTTGACGTGGTAACTATCCTTCAGTCAGCCCGCTGGTTCAAGAGAGATTTGAAGCATTTTGGTTGCTGTGAATTCTCAAAGGAGCAAGTGTCACAATCCTCTGGCCTGGCATGAATTGTTCCTCTTTGGTTTTTTTCTCTCCCTTGTTCCAGGTCTCTGGCATTGCACTTATCGTGGTCGGTATTGTGGTGCAGACCAAGTTGAATGGCTCCCTGCACATCACCAGTGTCGCTGCCTCTGGAGCTCCCATTGTCATCATTATCGTTGGGGTGGTCATCAACTTTGTCGCCTTCTTCGGCTGCTGTGGTGCCTGGAAGGAGAACTACTGCATGGTGACTACGGTAAGGGGCTCATCGGCACTGCTTAAACCATCCCCTCGGGCTGCAGCTCGGAACGTAGTCGGCTACTCTTCAATTTGGAGGGCTTTCTAATCGAGAACGTCAGTCCTGAGCAAGGGTCACTCAACTTGAAACACTAACTCTGATTTCTCTCCACAGGTGCTGCCAGACCTGCTGAGCTTTTCCAGCAATTTCTGTTTTTGTTTCACTTTTTTTTTCCTTTTTCCCAGCAATTCCCAAGCTATGATATGGTGCAGATTAGTGTTTACAGCTCTTTGTTTCTAACACGCTGATGTTTTTAATGTATGGGATTTTCAGCATCTGCAAAGCACTGGTTAGTTGGATCACTCTGAAGTTTCTCTGTTTCTCTGCCAGTGTTTGTGACGACTGGTTTGTGAGCTGAGTGGGTGGGTCACTGCTTTACCTGTATTCTCCATTTTTCTCTTTTTGAAGTTTGTATCTAGTTCTGTTTTTAAAAAGTGGAAGGAATGCATTTCTGTACACGTGAGCAATTTATCCTGGTAGCCATTGTTGGCTTGTTACTGTCCTGATTATCCAATTGAGCGTTTTGCAATAGAAACAGAAGTTGCTGGAAAAGCTCAGCAGGTCTGACAGCATCTGTGAAGAAAAAAGAAATCCGAGTTCTGAGGAAGGGTCACCGAACCCGAAACATTAACTCTGATTTTTCTTTTTCTTCACAGTTGCAGAAAGACCTGCTGAGCTTTTCCAGCAATTTGTTTTTGTTCCTGATTTTACAGCATCTGCATTTTTAAGGTTTTTATTAAGCATTTTGCAATGCTAGAGTAATAATGGAGGATTTCATTCAAGTTCTTGAATAAAAACAGTAGTTGCTGGAAAAGCTCAGCAGGTCTGGCAGCATCTGAAGAAAAATATCAGTTAATGTTTTGGGTCCAGTGACCCTTCCTCAGAACTGATTTACAGCACCTGCAGTTCTTTTGACTTTCATTAAGTGCTTGTTTTTTTTTCTCTTTTTAAAACACTTGTGTGTGCACTGCTAATGTCGCTGGTGTAAGACCAGAATGTATAACGCATCCACCTTTTTGTTTTTTGAGAAGGTGGTGGCAAGCTGTTGCTTCGAACTGCTGTAGCCTGTTTGTTACAGACAGGGCTCCTTGCTGTTGGGGAAGGAATTCTGTTATTTTTCACAAGGTTACAAGTCCTGGAACTGCAACAAGATTTCAAGTCAGGATGGAGTGGCTTGGAGGGGGAATCTTTCAGGTGATGGTGGTCCCATGTATCTGCTCCCCTTGTCCTTCTTGTTGGTAGAGATCACCAGGTGCTTTCTAAGGAGGGTTGGCTAGCAGCTGTAGCCCATCTTGTAAATCAGACCCACTGCTGTCAATGGTGAAGGTAGTGGGTGGAATGCCAATAAATTGGATGCTTTGTCCTGGATGGTGTCGAGCTGCTTTGTTGGAGCTGCACCCATCCAGGCAAATGGGGAGTATTCCATCACGCTTGTGAATTGTGCCTTTTGGACAGGCTTTGGGGAGTCAGGAGCGGAGTTACTCGCTGCAGTATTCCTAGCCTCTGACCTGCTTTCGTAGCTGTTGTTTGTGGTGAGTCCAGTTCACTTTTTCTGGTCAATGATGATTACCACGTTTGGCAATGAGTAATGACTGTGAATGTCAAGGCAAGATGGTTAGATTTTTATCTTGTTGGAGATGGTCATTTGCCATTTGGTCTCAATATCCTTTTCATGCCACATTTCAGCCCAAGCCTGATATGGGAGCATGTAGGGCTTTGCTTTTTGCTCTCACTCTCGCTCGTTGCAAGACCTGCACAGATGTGATGTACAACTCCGAATATGGTATCGTTTAAACCCTATGTATATGTCTCTCCCGGCCACTACGCTGAAAATAATGTGAAGGAGGGAACACAGCAGGCCAGGTAGCATTGGAGGAGCAGGAAAGCTGATGCTTTTGGTCAGGACCCTTCTTCAGAATGAAGGATGGTTGAGTAGAGCAGGCATAAAATGCAAAGGCTGCTGACTAGTCAGGAGACTGTGAATAGTGGTGAGCGGCAAATTGATGACCAGCTTTGATGGTTTGGAAGTGTTGTCCAGGATTCTGAGCATTTGAAGAGGCTTTAAATTTGCTCGATTTGTGATACCAACCAATCTTCTAGAATGAGCACTATTGCTTCTTGGGTGTGATGAAAGTTTTTAATTGGGTGTAGGTCTAAGTTGGGTTGAGATGGACAAAAAGGAGAGGAAATCTTGACCCACAACTTCTCTTTTTAGCTGCCTCTGCATTGCAAGAGGTAACTGCCTACAATGTTCCTCTCTCAGTCTATAATGTAACTGTAATTGTTTGTCTCCCCACAATTTTTTAGCATTTGATTAAGGAACCAATTTCCAGAGTATTCAGCTGGTGAAACTAGCTTGTCCTTTTTCTGTTTATTTTTTTAGTTTGCAGTTCTGCTGATCCTGATTTTCATTGTGGAAATTGCTGCTGCCATTGCTGGTTACATCTTCAAGGATCAGGTGAGTCATGCATTGGCCTAAAGTACACGGATGTTTCTGTGAAGTGGAGCTGCTCTTTGAATGAGAGGTCGGATTGTGTGTGCGCGCCATCCAGCTCCCTTGATGCTCCGTGTGGGTGAATGGATTTTCTTCACGTTTTGTAAGTGCTTCCCCAAGATAATTCTGCTCCAAAGGTGTTTTTTTAATTGACTTTTTTGTAGTAATTGAGCATGACTTAATCAGACATGGTCTGTGTGCCCTCGTGAAAATTTGGCAAACTTGAGCTTGGCACGATGACCGGGTTTGATCAGCCTTTTCTTAAAAGGCCATTCCTTTTAACTCTGCATGAGAAATGCACGTTTCAAAGTATTGGTGTCCAGTTAGCTTGAACTTCCATCTTGTAGCATCCTTTTTGACTAAAACAGCCATTTTTTTTCAAATTCTTCTTACTATCTGGACATTAACAAGGCCGACCTGTGATCGACATTAACTTTAGCACTTAACTGTTTGTAGTTTTGGGGGTGGAGGAGGGAGTGAGATTGGAAATGAAGGAGAGCTCGTATAGTTGACTTTTGTTCCCCCCTACTCTCTCTTTATTCCCGCTTTGAGGTCTTGCAGTGTAGTGGATAGAGTTTGAATTCCATTCCAGGACGTCACAGCTAAACCAGGTGTAAATCCTTCTAACACCCCTGTCCCTGACAGGCAGTAACAGTTGGAGAGATTCCTGTTCAGCTGTGTGATTGGGGGAGGTGGGGACAGAATTGGTGTCTTGATTTTGATTGTGTAACCTGTCCAAGCAGCTCCTACTTTTTAATGTTGCGAATAAAAGCTGTATCGTGGATGATTTTCAGCAGATTTTTTGTAACTTCTCGCAAAAGTTGGCTGGCATCAGTCTCTCTCTCTATATAGACACACACACGATTTGTTTCTATTGAGAAATGAATTGCATAAGGAAATCCTAGGGGATCGATCTCTCGTTCATTCTTGTTTCCATTGAGCGCGTGATCTCCTTGTGTACAGAGCCATTAGATCGTTGTTCAGTGCCTGTTGTAAATACCTGAAGTTCGGCGAGATTGCACCATGTTTGTGTATTTTTAAGGCTTTTGATTGATTTTTGCAAATTTATCTTCCTTCAATGACAGATTCGTGGGGTCCTTGAGAGGACACTTAATGAAACGATGATAAATTACAACAAAACAGGAAATACTGTTAACATCGATGAGTTGCAGAAGCAGGTGAGCTGGAAGCTCTCGATCCTCTTGACTTTTTAAATCTCAATAAAAGTAGAGGAGCAAACAGTGAAGGTTTTCGGGGTTCGATTCCACCCTCTGGTGACTGTGTGGAATTTGCACATTCTCCCCGTGTCTGCGTGGGTTTCCCTCTGGGTGCTCCAGTTTTCTCCCACGGTCCAAAGATGTGTAGGGTGGTTTGGCCGTGCTAAATTGCCTGTAGTGTTCGGGGATGGGTCTGGGTGGGATGTTCTGAGGGCTGATGTGGACTTTGGGCTAAAGGGCCTGCTTCCACGCTGTAGCAGTTCTCTGACTCTGACTCCAGTGAAACTGCTGTCTCGTTTTTCTGTGTTGGCTTTGCAGTAGTCAGCAGTCCCTTCCTTTTAGGATTTTCTACCGAAATTGCAGCTCTTGTGATGCCTAAAACTAGGCGTTTACTTTTTTTTTGTTTTAATGATTTGAAGGGGAGTGTGAAAACTTCCTATTTATTACTGGGCTGGGACTCTGCATTTAAATGCAGTGAGCTCAGGAGTACCAGATTGGTGCATTTGAATTTGTACGCATCCATGATTTTAGATCCCTGTCGCCCAATGCCCGGTTCCTCACTTGAATTTTTTTTGTTCTTTTTGTTTCAGTTTAACTGCTGTGGAAGTTTCTCCTACAGAGACTGGCTTCCGCTATTGAACCAGACAGTCCCAGATTCCTGTTGTAAAGACGAGTATCCTGGCTGCGGGAGCAATCCTACATCGAGCAATATTAACGAAGAGGTGAGTACCCATTTGTGACTTTTTTTTTTAATCTTTCAAATTAGTGCCTGTTGGGAATGGGAGGCCTTTGGAGGAGGGTGCAAGTGCCCCAGCTCCATAATTCCTGTTCAGCGGAGGTTGCTTGTAACTTGCCAGGTTTGTCCCAAATGACTGCCTAGTTTGTTGCTGTCACTGCCCTGGGGCAGTTTGGCACTTGACTGGCATCAACTTGATAGCAAGAAGAGCTTTTGCTAGTCATCAGAACATGCCTTGCTTCTAGCTGGTCACTATTTCGTGTGCATCTACACACACGCTGTAAAATGACCCCGCTCCCTTCTGTGACCTAACATGAAGGTAGACAATAAGAAGCGAAATGGGTGACAGAACCAAGTGAATATTTGGGCAGTGACGTGGATCTGGAACCTGGCACTAATCTGGAAAATGCAAGGTCACATCCTGTCCTAGCTTTTCTATTTTTCAGGTTTTTAAAGCTGGTCACCGAAAGTCAACATGAAGTTATTTTTTAAAAAACCCTGACTTGTTCACCTTCTGCCCATCCCCTTAAGGAAGGGGAAAACTGCTGTCGTTTAGCAGACAAACCTTTTCCCCTCCCACCAGAGATGTTGAGCCACTCCACTGCATCTAAGATGCTGGGGCATGAGCATTTGAGATGCCAGTGATGCCCACACCCTGAAGGCTTGTCCAACTACCTCCCTTTCTGCTTGTGCTCTAAACTTCCTATTCAGTCACTTGTGGGCTTGGCCAGACCTGGTGTGAGCTGGTGGTGGGATAGCCTTTAGATTCCAACATGCTATGCCAATGACTCTTCCCTTGGGCTAAATTTTATCACCTGCCTGGAGACCCAAGTGGTGCTGAAGCTGCCCTGCATTGCTACTGTGTGCTGTCCTCCTGTCAGGACCCTTTGGACAGAGCATTTTGTCTTGAGATTGGAAAGAAATCTTCTTTTTTCCCCAAAGTTGCCCTTGCATCACGAGTCAATTCAGGCTCACTTTGTGGTGTTACTTATTCTGCAGTCTTGCCATGAATTTGGTAACTTCCCTCTCAATACACCACTTTTTTTGGCTTTTCAGTAAGCTACTGTTTCACGGTTTGTGTTTTTATTTTAATTCCCCCTACTTTTATTTCCCACAGGGTTGCGTGAATGTTATTAACGCATGGCTCAAAAGAAACAGTCTGATTGTTGCAGGTGTGGCTCTTGGCATCGCCTTATTCCAGGTATAAAAAGACTCCATTCTATAGTTGGTGTGATGTGGATATAAAGTAAAATTTAACAGGCCATTTATAATAGGCGGTTTTCAGTTAGCTGCTTTGTTTGCACTTGCGCGAGGCCAATGATCTCTTGTGGCTTGGCTCAGTCAAAATGCAGCTGGTATACATGTTGTCCCACGTACCGTTCTGTTCACTATGCAATTACCTTCCCAGCGAGAGCCTATGAACGTACAAACAAGTAGGCTGCTCAGCCCTTCAAACCTGTTCCGCCATTCAATAAGATCATGGCTGATCTGGTCCTAACCTTAACCTTGCATCCCTGTATATCCCCCCAATTTAATCTTTCATCCTCCTAGGTTCAGAATCCATCTCCCTCTGCCTTCAAAATTATAGAAAGATTCTGCGTCCACTGCCTTTTGAGGAGGGGAATTCCAAAGAGACACGATCCTCTGAGGGGGAGGGGAAATGTTGTTTCTTCTGTCTTTAAATGGGCATCCTTATTTTTAAACCACAACCCCTTGTTTTAGAGCCTCCCAAAAAAGGAGACATCCTTTCCACATGAGATAAC